TCTTTCACTTTCTGGTCTTAATTTTTTTATTGGCTTTTCTGTGCAATTCTCTGTGTATTTTTGGTGGATTTGTGGGAGGATAATCCTACTGTCACTAACATGCATGCATTCCCAGTGGTAGTAAACTCAAGTCAATTTAGTAGAGTGGATAAGCTGTCTACCATACACTTTAGAGGTATTCACTGTACAGTCTGTTTCGATGCATAATGAGACCTAAGCTTGAGAGCAAAAAAAAAAAAAAAAAAGCCCAAACAAAAAACCTCAGCTACTAGATCTTAGAATATAGCTTAGATGCTTGACCATTTCTAAAGCCACAGAATGTTCAAATTTGCAGCACTTCTGACATGCAGCCACAGTGTCTAAACAGAAGTAAATCACTGTGGATTAACTCTGAAATAGCAGAAAACTTGAAATTTTCAGTATAAAATTACCTGTGGGTGGTTTAATGGTTGTTGATTAAGAGTATTTTTAAAAACTCTATGCATTTAATATAGTCACAGCAATATTTATGAAATGTAGCTTTTCTCTGAGAACATGCATTAATGTCAGGTTATACATTAGGGTACACAAAACACAAACAACTATTAATACCAGTGCCAGGATCCACACTAGAATACTGCAGATTCTTACACTGCAGCGTTGTTCCTACTTACAGAGAACTTTCTCTTGGAGGTGTCTCTTATTTTTGTACGTAGCACTGAAAAAATCTTGCTGAAAGGGTCACGAATATCTTGATCATTTCATAAGTATCTTGCATAAAACTGTCATAAAAAATATTGTGCTTATGGCAGCTTATTTGAAATTGATAGTGACTATTTATTCACAATATTGTTCATCATGTTGGATTCTCTGAATTAATTGGAGACTGTCCATCTGATCTGACCAATCCTTCCAGTCCTTCCTTGGATTTTGCTGAAGGTAGCACCAAGGAGCAAAAAGCATGGACCGTGTTGCTGGGGGTACTCTGGCTGTTGATCTCGCACAACAGAGCACTATGCAACTACTTGTTTTGCAAGAATCTCACAGCTGTGGTACATTCAGTTTGAAGACATACTGGCTTTATTACAAATTGGATCACCCCTTCATGATACACCCACCCAGCACCATGCCACTAAATACCTGCTGCTTTGCAGAGTGCGTTTGGCAGTTGTAAGAAGAAAAGTTGCTGCTGTGTCCCTCATGTTTTCACTTGAGGTCTCCCTGGATGCCTAGCAATGATAGTTGATATAGGCGGAGCAAGGCTCTTGCAACATATAAAATTCTCTAGCACCAGTATGTGAGGGAGCCTTGTACATTGGGAGTGTCTCCAACAGGTAAAGAAGAAAGGCCATAGAGAACAGCATTAACATTGTCTCCAGCTGTGCTTATGTGCCTGCCCACCCCACTCACATCACACGTACTTATTTAAGCAATTATAGCTGAAACATCTAGGGTCAACTTACCCCTCTCTTTTGTTAGAAAGGTATATAACTATGGCTCTAAGCTACCTTTTGTCTTTAAGGAACTCTGAATCTTCAACCTGTGACTTGTTTTTCTGCCATTTCCATCTTTTTGTGGCTGATGTAGAAATTTGTCTCCTGAATTTTCAGTCACTAAGATGTTTGATCAAATAAATACCAGTGAATAAGCTAAAATGAGGAACATTTTAGATCACTAACCCATCAACACAAATTGAAAGCAAATGACTGTTACAAGCAATGACAAAGCCCAATTTTCTACATAAGAAAATCCTTATCCTTTGTGGAGGACTAAGGGGTCCTGGAGCAGCTTTTTGTATGTGTCTAGGATTTGAAAGCAGTAATTTGAAACAAATGAAGGTAAATAAGGAAACAACGTGTACATTTGTTTAATATGCACAGAGTGTTCTTTCAATCTAAGCACAAACACTACCTAATTTGGCTCATCTTCTCTGGCCTTCAAATTTCTATACCACAGGTTGCAGAAGACCTTATTAACCGGTTACATCTCAAAGCCCATGCTGACAAACTGGTGAGAACATACAGTGCTGGCACAAAGCGGAAACTCTCTACTGCTGTGGCTTTAGTTGGTAAACCGCAGGTACTTTTACTGGTGAGTAAAGGTAATATTGTGCCTATGATAAATGGGTTACATTGAATTTTGTTGTCTTGTATGTTGCTCTAAAGAAAATCAGGCAGTTTCCTGGTCAGTCAGGGAGTAATTGATACATGGATGTATAACTGTTCTCTGTGTTCAGCTGTATGAATCCTTATTTTATTCTCCAGTGTTCACAAAAATAGAAAGTGAAGTTATTTTTTCTTTCTTTTTTTTTTTTTTCCCTTGGAGTAGTTAGGTGAGCAAAAAAAAGGGGGGGCCCTAAACACACAGAAATGCATTTGTAGCATGGCCCAGATGGATATGCAATTTTTTTTAAGATTTCCTTATCTAAGAGAAGAAAAAAAATAATTTAATGTAAAATATGTTAATTGCTTATGTATTCTCTGCCTCGCATATAACATAAGAAAAATATATATGAACAATTCTACTAGCTTCCTTAAGAAGGAAGATTCTTATTTTAATCAGTAATTTGGAGCTGGTGTTCTTAATTATTGACCCATCATTTTCAGGATATTCATATTCCTTGCTATGTCATGCTTCGTAAATCTATCTAGTTCTTCTACTTTTGTTGGATTCACAATTGACACAATCCAACTAATACTCCTGAATAATTTTAATTTGAATTATTTATCACGTGTTGTTTTGGTGCTTGCACCCTACTGCTCATTTAGGCCCGAAACTGGCCTTTCCAGTTTAAACAATGCCTTTTGTATTGAAGATCAGGGAATTACAAAGCTTTGGGAGATGCATCGTTATTGCACCACATTCTCTTTCTTATCATTGCCTGTGGTTTCACTAGGGAAGTGACTGGTGTTGCTAGGGAACTGGTTGCAACTCGAGAAGCCTTGTTACCAGAGCAGCCTTGACTGGTGTTGTGTTAGGAGTACAAGTCTGATGTGTGGCTGGGCAGGAGGAAGGCCCTCCTGTTGAGTCACGAGGTTCAGAAAGGACCCCCTTGCTTTATAAACCCTCTCAGAGAGGAGTCTAGGTGCGTCTGGATTCAGTCTTAGTCCCAGGCTTGGTCAACAGTTTATGCTTAAAGGAGCGTGTGTGTGTAGCCACTTCTCAGAGTCAAGATTTGCCTCTCAGAGCCCTGTCAAGGACTTTCGCTGAGTCAGTTTCGCAAAGTTTGAACAGATAGATGATGTATTAAGGCAAGAGATATAACAAATCTGGAATTGTCATTACTAAATTCACTTACCACATTTAGTGCTAAATATCCTAAGGTTAAACTGTAATTAATTAATTAAGCAATAGCAAAAATTTGCTCAGATATCATCCAACACAGCTGGAGGCACAAATCTTACCAAAGATGCACCCCTGCTTGGGAAGGAGCAAGGTACAGGCCCATCAACCTGTCTGGTTAGTTGGAGTTCTCATCCTCAAAATAGAGGCTTCCAAATGCCAGGTTTGTACACTTGGCAAGGTGGGACTAAGTCAACTGCCGTGCCGGTTGGCCCTTAGCAAGTGTTGTCAATTATGGAAAGTCAGCGGGGCTCGATGGTTCAGCATGGGGGCAGGGAATTCGGTACAGATGTATGGGGATCTTTCTGGTTTTGCTGAAGCAACATCGGGCTGTGACACCTAAGCCCTGCTCTGGGTGTCACTCATTCAATTTGAGTGTTAGACTGCAACACATCACATCTGTTTTGCAAGATACGCACAGGTCTTGCAAGATAAGCAACAAGTCAAGCCACAAGCTAAGCACATTGCTCAAGTCAAGCCCCGCTACTCCTTGCTCACTTACAGCGATTTCTATATTTGGCACCAAAAATCTGGACAAGTCCTGTGTCCCACAGACAGTGCTTCCAGTAACAGATCGCAGGCTAACTAGAACCAGATAAATCTGTTGTTCTCGCAGGGTTCATTTTTCAGAAGATCAGACGCATTTTGAGGCTTCTAAATTCCCGTCATTGCCTCACTTCTGAGGTGAATTATTTTACTTACATTTTATGCTCAAACTGACCCTGGTTCAGTTAGTAAAAGGAGGAGATAATCTTAAATCAGTACTTTTTCTTCATCTGAGAAAATGCTCTAACTGTTTTTTAATGTCTTTATGACAGTATGCTACTGCAAGTATCCATTTCAACCTACTTCTTGCTGCAGGGCACAGACTATTCTATATGTAATGACAAGAGGAGAAAAAAAATATCTAAACATGTCAAATGCTTTAAAACTTTTGGCTGACTTTAGAAAACTAGCAGAATGTAAAGGAGTTATTCTGCATTTTTAAAGGTGCTTTTTTTTGTCCGAAAGCAAAGACGTCAATGTAAACCACTGAGTCTGCTTCTAGATTTCATCCAGGACCATAGCTATTAATTTAAGTAATAGTGTGGGTTGCTTTATTTTTGTTCTTTTTTGCTTTTTCTTTGTTAGCTATCCACAGATAATAGGAGACTGAACCGAATTATTTTTCAACTCTGCCATTGGTAGCTAAGCATCAAAATCAGCATCAAACCGGATGTTGTGTTTGCTTTGTTTCTTGAGAACTTTGCTTTCAGGTTTCGGTTGAGACTCTTTGCTGCAAATACACTGGCCAAGGCCATACCACTCTAATAGGTGCCGACACTCCTGATGAAATTCCATAGTATAAAAAACGAGAAGAGTTTCCTTCTCCCACGTTTTTTATCGACAGAGACTGGCTTTTGCAATCAGATATCATGCTTTCTACTTCCACAAGCAGATGAAGTCAGAATTTGATTTAGCAAAGACAGCAGGATTAGATAACAGGGGGAAGTGTATTTTCTGTAGCTGAACTCCATGAAAGCCACCCGAGTGGGAAATGGGTTTGCCGGGTGGTTTGCATTGGGTAGTGCTGACTGGCTTGTTATGTAATTCTGTGGATTCTCTCTACTGTGGGTGTCAATTTTGCTTGAATGGACCCTGGGAGTAAGTGCTGGAGGGTGTCAAATCCAAACATACTATCCACATCTGGCTATGGGATGGACAGTGCAGGCAGCCAGGAGTTACAGGATGACTTCTCCACTTGTTTGTGCTCACGGCAGATGTGCATGTAGGGGAGCAACAGGAACAAATCCTCCAAGAAGGTGAGGGAAAACCATCTGCAAGTCTCTCCTATTTAAGAAAGTATATTTAGAATAATTATTAAATATATATATGTATATTTATCAGTGATACTACATTTATTACATTATTATATAATATATAAACATATTATTTTAATGTATTTAAATTTCTGTCCTGGTTTTGGCTGGGACGGAGTTAATTTCCCTACCCGTAGCTGTTGTG